TATTCTCTTGAACATTTGGTTGAGATTGTGAATAATGCTACAATAAACATAGATGTAGAATATTTCACGCTAAGTGAAACAAGCCAGACTATGAAGGAGAGGCATTGTATGTCCCCACTTACGGTATACTGAATGTCTGCACTGTAGTGCAGAAACGAGGAGACTGGAAGATATAACAGCAAGGAAGGCAAGTGAAGGTACTAGAGACTGTATTAAAGGGTGTGGGTAATAGGGGGTGGGAGAGAGGGATTCAGACAAAAAACATGTAACACATGCAAAAATGAACAATTATCTGGGTTAATATACACTGTATTAATGCTGCAAAAAACAATTTTGTGTGCTGTAAAGATGTACAGTAATTAAATGTACATAGATTTTAAAAAGTTGTGGAAAAACATGAAAAAATAAAACATGAAAATTTAAAACTTGGGAACCAGCAGTTAGCGTAATGGCTATGTCACTGGACTCCCATGTAGTCGACCACGGTTCACGTCCCAGACCCGGTGGCTTAAAACTCACGCCGGGCGCGTGTGCATGCATGTCCAAGATCCTGAGAGGAGAATGGAGGAGAAGGGATTGCGGCGTGACCATCCTCCCTGGGGGGTGATTTCTCGCTTTCTGTCTCTCTGTCTCTGTCTGGCAAGCGCACGCACCCTATAGCGAAAACCTCTCCAAAAAAAAAAAAATAAAAACTTCAGCTTTAAAAAAAAAAAACTATATGAACAAGCTTTTCCTTCAGAGTTGAAATCTTGACATCTTTTCTTTTCTTTCTTGAACCAATATTTCCTTGCCGTTTGCCACCATGCCTAGAATTTGTGTCTCTGTTTTTCTCTCTCTCATGAATGCATGCATCCTCCAGCAAAATTTTTAAAAAGTTTGAAATCATAATGTTGTGTTGTATGGTAAAGAGAAGCAGATTCACCTAGCATTAATCATCTGCTTTGTAATAAATATAAGGTCTAATTTTTTTATGGCTGAGTAGTATTCCACAGAGTACGTGTGCCACATTATTTCAATCCCATAATCTGTTCTTGAGCATTTCGGAGTAGAAATTTTCTAGAGATATCAATTGTTGCCAATACTATGAAAAGCCAATGGATCTAGATAAGACAGGTTTCTCAATCCTTAGACTGAAGGACATGTTTAATTTTTGTTTTTGCCATTTTTGTTTTGCTATTTTAATTTTGTTTAGTTTCTGGCATGTGCACTTGCCAGAGAAAAACAGAGAGAAAGTGAGACATCACCTCTGGGGGATGGCCATGTGGCAATCCCTTCTCCTCTCAGGATTTTGGGCATGCACACACATGTGCCCAGTGTGAGTTTCGAATTGCCAGGTCTGGGACTCAAACTGCAGTCAGCCATGAGGGACACCAGTGCCTTAACTGCCATGCCACCTGCTAGCCTATCTGTTTTTTTTTTTTTTGGGGGGGTTTTTTTTTTTTTTTTTTTTTTTTTTTTTTTTTTTTTGCTATAAGGCACAGGGCACACGTGCTTGCCAGAAAGACAAAGAAAGAGAGAGAGAGAGAGGAGAGAGAGTGAGAAATCACTCCCCAGGAGGGATAGCCACGCCACAATCCCTTCTCCTCCATTCTCCTCTTTGGATCTTGGGCATGCATGCCCGGCATGAGATTGACCCACTGGGTACGGGTCTGGGACTGGAATCATGGTTGACCACATGGGAGTCCAGTGACATAGCCATTGCGCCAACTGCTGGTCTCATCTGAAGAACATTTTCACTCAGAGTTGGCAACAGGTGCTGAGGAGGTTGGAGCTCTGGAGACAGATTAGCTCTCAGAGCAAAAGCAATGAGGACAGTATTTGTCTTTGAACTTGGTCTCATGAGAACAGAGAATCAGC